GGACGAGTTCTGGATGAACTCATATCAAAATAGCATATGCATAACCAAAACTGGCAAAACTGCCTAATTTGCTTCATTTAAAAAATCCTTGATAGCTCCATCATAGTTCAACTTCCATGGTGATGTATAAAATCATGATGTTTTTATCTGTCGTAAGTTTTAATTGATCCGCAATTTTTCGGAATATACGCGTTACAAAATCGATATATCAAAAGTTGATCCAAAACAACAAAAATACGCACATGTCAAGTTCGGAATTAATTATTTAGTCAATAGATTATATCATGCCGTCTCCTGTCTCGCAAAATTTCCATGCAGCCTGTTCATGACGTATTTAGCATTTAGCGAAAATCATTATAGGTACCTACCTAAAATACTCGAATTTTGAAACTTTTTATGACGCCAAAGCTGTAGATGACAATAATGTTTTCTGTCGTGCATTTACATAAATCACAAAAAGTAAAACAGTTTGCGACAGAAAAAAAAAACAGATTTTGGTATAATTTGTGCTCAATCTTAATCTATTCTTTTCCACTTAGCTTAATGACTTCCTTACCTAAAAAAATAAATAAATCTAAAATCTTTAATTGATAAGTTAAATTCGGTCCTGTATCTTGAGTATTCTATATTGCTACATTCTAAGTTAGTTTATTTCAAAAGTATTTCTGGTTTGTACAGATAAGTGAAGACCGCGGTAAAGACGATCCCAAAAGTGAAAACAATTCTATGTCATAATCAACACACTTCGAACTATCTCTGCAATATTTGCTGACCTACATTTTTCTGCAATTCTTATCTCTTAGAAAAGCCGGATTATCATTATGTTGTTTGATAAATTCTAAATTATTTATTAATAATATTGAAGATGTCTCATTTGATAGTGATTGTTATCGTGCGATCTATGAGCCGAAACATTATTAATACGAGCGTAGGACTTTACGTTTTGGTACTTATAATAAACTATGGAATGTGTTTAGCACTCAGATTATTATTATTAATTTATCTTGGACACCTGATTCTCTCGCCAACGAGTATTACAAGAGACTAGGCAGCATCATCATCTCTGGGTTCTTCGATGGCTAAATAAGCCTATTCTGGACCCACAATTTCTCCCACATTGATTGCAAACCAAATCAGCGGTAGCCGGTCGCTGTTGTAAACCAGCTCTTATCCTCCGCAACCCTTCGCCTTTGTCGTTCGAGATACTCCGAGCCTTGATGGATACTTTGTGGCCTCACGGGTCTATCCAGAGCCGTAGCCTCTAAGTCGCCCACATCCCACATCTGATACGCTTGATGACATCTTTATATCGTTCCAATTGCCCTTCTTTGCTGCTTTGGTCATTTTTTAGTTGGGAATACATAATTTGCTTAGGAAGACATGAGTCTGGCATGCGGACGATATGATCACCCGAGCGAAACTGATGTTGAATGAGCATTGCCTGACTGCTGGTGGAAGTGGAATTGTTTTCCTCAAGAATGCTGTCCACCGGTCCCGCCAGTTTATTTTGAGCATTCTGGTAAAGGTGTGGTGATACTTTTCTAAACACCTCAGATGTCGTCTGCAAGTTTTCCAGGTTTCACATCCGTAGATGGCATTGTAGACTGCGAGCTTAGTTGTAGTTGTAGTTAAGCTCCGTTGTTGGTAAGGACGGTGGCGTTCAAATGCTTTGACAAGGTTCATAAAAGTCATATACAAAGGTTTGTTTTGCTTTTCCGATTTTTCTTGCATTTGTCTTGCACTGAAGATCATGCCCTGCTGTCCCTCGGCTACGTCTAAAGCCACACTGTGTTTCGGGTAGGGTTGCTTCGACTAGAGGCAGAAGTCGGTTGGACAGAATCCTTGCACGATTTGTTTCACCAGTGATATTCCTCGGAAATTTCCACACTGTGCCTTATCGCTTTTTAACGATAGAGGTAGCTCGCAAATCTGTGAGATTGTTGCCAATGAACCTATGCATGTGTTCGACCAGCGCACAGCCCCTCACTTTAAAAAGCTCATAGAGGAACTCCATCTAACCCAGTAGCTTTATAATTCTAGAGTTGGTTGCTAGCTTTTTCAACCTCTTGAATATGGGGAGTGACGTGACTCTGTTGGTTTTGAATGGATTTTTGAGGGACTTTATTGATGAAATCATCATTTGCGTTAGAATGTCTGTTCAAGAGCTCGAGAATGCTCTTTCCATCGGGAGTTAATAGAAGCAGGATCTTTGTGTTGCTGGATCCCATCTCTAGATCTAAGGGGAATTGAACCTTTTGTGGAAGGACCATTGCTTTTGTGTCGCTCTGGTCTTGTAAGTGGCTGCTGAATAATCCAATTCAATTGACCTCGTTGTCCACTACTGTTTTTTTGGAATTCTTGTCCTTCTTTGTACTTGAGCCTTTGCTTAAAGATAGGTTTGTTGCTTGTAAGCTGAATTTGTGTCATTTTGCCTGATATTGTAGGTTTTCCTCATATGATTGATGACTTTCTGAATTTCAGGCAGCATAACTGTTTTTTAAGCATTGACCAGTACTGTTCGATATCGTGGGGATACTCAGCAGACAGTTTCTTTTTCAATTCACCATATTAGTTAGGTTAGGAAAAATCGGGCGCGAAATTTAAAATGGATTCCTAAACATATTTCAACAAATTTGACAGCAATGTATTTCTTAAGGGGGATTCAAAAGAGTGATTTTCAGACGGGAATATCTTGGGTTCTGGGCATTTCTTAGTATTTGAACCTATTATACGTCAAACTTTGAACATATTTCTCTATAATTCATGCTTTAATTGTTTTTTTAGACCTATAAATTAAAAATACAAATGATTTTAATTAAATGTCTGTTTTCGGTGGACGTACGTCGGGTCTAAAACCAGCTGTAAGAAAGTGAGGTTGTGTGTTGTGTTATGATTGTTGGTGAATTGTTTATTTATTTATTTATCACTGGTTCAGTCATTTGTTTTGCCATTTTTTTGGATTATTGAAGTACATCTACTAACCAAGTATGTAGGTACACTTTTATTTTATTATAATTATAGGTATCCAAATATATACTTATGGATTAAGCAACGACATACGTATTTTATACAAACATCGGCTTCTTAAATTGGTAATATTTTTATTCTTACAATGTTTATTCAACTTTCAAACACTCTCTCAGTTTATTAACATATTAAAAAAACTATTTATACAACTCACTTCCCTAACAAACGTTCTATCACGTCTATAGACGCTTTTAAAATTGAGTCCCCATAAGACATCAATGTATTAATTTTTGAACTAGGAACCCGCGCCAATTTGCGATTCTAACCTAACTAATATGGTGAATAGCAATGTTAACCTATTTAATAATCTATTGCTAACAAAGCGAACTTGGATACGTTGGATAAAATGTACCAAAAAAAAACCAAGTACTTAATTAAGTACATAACTGTCAACAATCATTTCAATTTTAATAGGCATGGAGTAATTTTCTGAATTATCCACTTCAAAAAATTAGCATAAGGAAACCAGAAGTGGCTTTTGGACCATCCAATCTCTAGATAAAAGTGTATCTTTTTATTTCCAAGGATTCTTTCTAGGGCCCAAGGGTTAACTACTATTCCGTCATTTTCTTTCCCTCAAAAGTCAAAAACAGACAAAATTATGCATCAATTATGGATAGTATATGTAATTACAACCTTGAGGTGACAAGTTATCCTTTATCCAAATCACATCCTATATCCCATTTCTCTAAGGCCCGGGTTATTAACTTCTGATAAACTGTCAGCTAGTGAAATCTGATGGATAAAAAAAAATCTAAAATCCTATTGGTCGTCCAGTTATACGCCGACCGATAGAGTTATAGATTGGTAAATTCATCTTGTAGACTAGACAGTTACCAGCAAAGTTTATCTGAACATGAATAAACCAGGCCTTAGATAAAATGTATCCTAGTTTATTGCTACATGCATAGTTCCTACAGTATCAGTTCACAATTATTTTTGTTTATTATTTTCGGCCTTGTCCGAATAAAATTTCAGTCAAGTTGCTTTATAGTAAAGTAGTTAGTTGTTAATTAATTGATTGCTAAGGTTAATGTTTTATTGAATCGGTCACCATAGACAGTGGTATTCAATTACATTTTACATATAGGAGTAATGGTCTTTGTTCCACTAAAATTAAACCTGAGGACCTCTAATATTTAGCTTTAAATTACACACACTTTAAATCCATTGTTGGGAAAAAGTGAAATAAAGATCAGCAACTGTGATTGGTTGTTAAAAATAAATTGATGTAAGAACTTGCACTTGCATAACTGAATTTATTATCCATTTCTGAAAAAGATGTTCTTTTTTGTGATAAATAGCAAGATCTCAGTATTTCTAGACACGCGGAGAAATGTGAAGGGATCATTTTGAGCAAATATTTGCATTGCCATTCAAACGAGAGAAAATTGTTCAACAAAGATCGATGTTGGGAATTACCATTCAATATAAAATTTCAAACCGCGAAATAAAACAAAATACAGGAGTACAAGATGCTGCGGAAGCGATTCAGTGCCTAAATTGGGCAGAACGTTGCCAGCATAATTCTTAACCGGTGGACGCAGAAATCGTAGAGTGTCGTCCAAGATCAGACGCATTCAGAAATAGGGGAAGACCCTCCCAACTCTTTTCACGGACGGCATGGAACTGGATATTGGTTGAAAATAGAATAGCGTGGCAAAGTTTGGAAGATACCCTTGTCCAGCAGTGGACAGAATGAGCTGATGATGCTGATGCTCAATTTGCAACCAGTTATTTCGCTCAGCTCGCGAACTGTGTATTAAGGTTGTCACCTGGTCAGCGCTAATTATTGAATTTGTAGCTGTTTTCATTGGTACTAGTAAAAAGGGTTGCAGCCCATCTGTATTTCCAAATTATAAAACATGACCCTTTCATTCAAGGCGGGCTTTTTTTCACTTAACGGAATAAAAACAGCTGTTTATTTAATTTATGTTTAGAGCTTTATTTATAATTTTTTTCTCTTGTTCCAGAAAACGTAACATGTGGCAAAAATGAGTTTCGATGTAATAATGGGAAATGTATACCTAGTCATTGGCAGTGCGATAATGATAAAGACTGTAGTGATAATAGTGATGAGGATGAACATTTGTGCCGTAAGTTTTGCGAGCGAATATCGTAATTTCAATTATTATTTAATTATTTATGTTGCAGAGCTAAAAGTATGCGGACCTGATGAGTTTACATGTAGGTCAGCCCCTGGAGAGTGCGTTCCTTTAACTTGGATGTGTGATGATAATCCAGATTGCTCAGATAGTAGTGATGAAAAATCTTGCAGTAAGTTACCTAGTATCAAAATGAAATGTTTTCATGGCTACATATTTCGTTTTTCAATTTATTGTAGATGAAACATGTCGATCGGACGAATTTACATGCAAAAACGGCAAATGTATCCAAAAGAGATGGGTATGTGATGCCGATAACGATTGCGGAGACAACTCAGATGAAAGTGAGTGCCCTGAAGTGAAGTGTTCCCCAGGAACTGAATTTCAGTGCACAGAAAGGTTTTGTGTTCCTGGAAAATGGAGATGTGATGGCGAATATGATTGTCTTGATGGACGCGACGAACAGGGTTGTCCACCTAGACCTTATCCAACAGTTTGTCTTCCTTCAGAACATGAATGCAATGACCGAATTACTTGTGTTCACAAAAACTGGCTCTGTGATGGAACAAAAGATTGTCCTGATGGATCTGATGAAGCTCCAGCCCATTGCGCAAACGTAACTTGTCGCTCAGATCAGTTCCAGTGTGATGATAGATCTTGTATACCTGGCGCTCTATTGTGTGATGGACATGCTGATTGTGCAGATAGAAGCGATGAGCATGAATGTGCTGCCTCTGCTCCGATCTGTGACGTGACAACACATTTTTCATGTGGCCCTGGAGGACCATGCATACCTTTATCTAAAGTTTGCGATGGAAAACCAGACTGCTCAGCATGGGAAGATGAACCTCGTGGAAAATGTGGTATTGATGAATGCTCACAAGATAATGGAGGATGTGCACATCGCTGTGTAGATACACCAGCAGGATTTAGATGCGAGTGTCGGCCAGGGTTTGCTCTAGCAGCTGATAACCGCACTTGTCGAGATATTGATGAATGTCAAATAGAAGGAACTTGTTCTCAAATATGTATCAACGATAAAGGGGGATTCAAATGCGAATGCCTACCCGGATATGCGAGAGACCCTAGAGATCATACCAGATGTAAAGCAGTAGAAGGTCATGCCTCTTTATTATTTGCAAGGAGACGTGATATCAGAAAAATATCATTGGATCATCATGAAATGACTAGCATTGTTAATGAAACTAATTCGGCGACAGCATTAGATTTTGTTTTTAGAACTGGCATGATATTTTGGAGTGATGTCGCTGATAAAAAAATTTATAAAGCTCCTATTGATGAAGGAAACGCGAAAACTGTGGTGAGTATATTGAGTTTTTTTTTTCATAGATACTTATTCATTATTGAATTAATTAGTGGCGGAGAATTTGAAATTTTTTCAAAAGTATCGAATTAATGAGGAACCAATTTATCTAGGTGGTGTCAGATGAAGTAACAACCTCCGATGGCTTAGCTGTAGACTGGGTATATGAGCATATTTATTGGACAGATACTGGTACTAATACAATCTCTTTGGCTAACTTCGACGGACAAATGAGAAAAGTATTAATTCAAGATGAACTAGAAGAACCTAGAGCTATTGCAGTCGATCCTTCAGAAGGATGGATTTTTTGGACTGATTGGGGTCAAGACCCAAGAATTGAACGTGCTGGAATGGATGGATCTCACAGGCAGCCTATTGTTACGTATGATGTAAGGTAAGTGTGGTAACATCAATAAGTTTGAATTATCAAGTATACCTCTATTGCAATTATTGCATTATTTATGTTTTACTAGTGTTTCTTACACAAATATTTATTTATGTAGTACATTCAATACAATCAACAGAAAAGTAAATGCAACGAAAGTATATTAAATTAGGTAGATGACCATGAACTACTTGTAACCACAAAAAAAAAAATCCAGGAAAGCAAACTGCATAATAATGTAATGAAAAATGAAAAATTTGACAGGGGGGCAAGAAATAAATTAGTCAGAATAATATGAAAACACCTATTTAGCCCTATTTACTGAGTCGAGTACCCTTTCAAGTGTAAAACAATGAAAGTAGCTTGAAGTTCTTTACTTTTTGGAAGGTACATACCAAAGCTCTGGTTTTGGAAAATGCATACTAAGTATTTCAGGCTTACGCATGGCTGTAACTTAATTATAAATATTGTTCCAAATTTGAAGGCATAGGTGCACAATAAGTTACATACGTAATTCATTATAACCACTTCAACGTTTTGGAAGTGACATTTTTTCACTTGGTTGAAAAATCTTAGCTCTCAACATAAATGAAACATTTTCCACCTCGAGATGCAATAAATTATTTAAATTTATTATATTCTCTTCAGGTGGCCAAACGGACTTACTTTAGATCTAGTCAAAAAGCATCTATATTGGGTAGATGCCAAACTTAATACTATTTCCGTGTGCGATTGGGATGGTCGTAATAGAAAGCTCATATTGTTTTCTATCACCGCTCTGCGTCATCCGTTTTCAATCACAACATTTGAAGACTGGCTTTACTGGACTGACTGGGATAGAGCAGCTGTATTTCGCGCCAACAAATTTACAGGCAAAGAGCTGGGACCAGTCACTGCAACAGAAATGGTTCAGGTAAATGAAATGGCTTTAATTTGCTATGACTTTATTGAATACATTTTAAAACTATTTCAGAACCCTATGGTTATCCACGTCTATCATCCGTATCGCCAGCCAGATACTGAGAATCACTGTCAACCAGTAAATGGTCACTGTTCGCATTTATGTTTACCTGCTCCGCGTGTTAGTCCCCGTGCTCCTCTAATTTCATGTGCCTGTCCAGAAGGATTAAGGATGCTTTCTGATGGTCTGACTTGCGTACAGGACGGTCAGTACCTATTTTTACCATTGTAATTGTATTAAATTCATCTTGATTTTATTTTTTGGCCACAATTATTGTCTGTCGATCTGTGCAAAATTTGATATAACGTAAGACTTTTTTTTGCTTGTTTTTCTCCATTTTATTTTAGCTTTTTAGCTTAAATATATTTTTTTGAATTTCCAGTGGTCACATTAAAAAAAAACAAGCGCACAGATTTTGGATATTGTCAATGAAAGCCCAAAATGTTCACTTCAGTTTTTTAATTATGTATACCGAAAAGTTTATTCAAATGTGATTATTGTTATTGTTTTTATTTTATTTTAATTGGTTGGCAGAATCTATAACAACAAGCACATCCTCTCCATCTGCGCCCTATACGCCGAGAATTGGTTCCTTGCCAGAGAGTGAGTACACCCCCTGACTTCCTTCTAGGGTTTCATAATGGTGCTGGTGTTTACAGTTTTTACTAATATGTACATATTTTGCTGGTTTTGGCTTTTCTTACTGCTCCTATTCACTTTTTTCAACGACCTTCACTGTATCCCCTTGATTTTCTTGTATATGTAGCTGAATTTCCCCATTTCATTGATTAATCCCTAGTTTTAAACAAAATAAAGTGGATCCAGGTATCTTTTCTAAATTTTAAATTTTATTGAAACATAAATCCACAGGGTGATGGTTGGGAAAATTACTTTTGTTAGTTCTTTGTTTGTTTAAAAATAATAAAAATGCCTTATCCAAAAAAAATCTTTTGAAGCATATTAAACTTTGAACAGATACATTTTACAAATGATTGAAAGGGGGTTTTACGTAGAAAATATTCCCCCTAAACAAATTTGTTGACGAGTTTCGGCGATTTTCACAAATCTGTCTTTTCACGCAGATAACGTGTGTGGAAGTTTTGAAATGAAAGCCCTGTATTTAAGATACTTCAACAAAAATATGTTTGTTATTTTTGCAAAAAAAAAAATAACAGATATTATGTCTCATAGTCTCAAATTTTTCTCTGCAACAATAACGCAAAAAAGCAACTTCTCAATGTACTTAATGAATTTCCATAATATCCCTGTAGAAATATTGTTTTCAGAAGTTTAAATCCACTTTATTTTATAGAAATTAGCTCATTAACTTGCATTCTAACACTAATAATTTTAGGTAGTACGAATCGGTCCAAATCTGGCAGCGGTACTAGCCCACCCGAGGCGCCTGATAATGAAGGTGTGGCCTATTTATCGATTTTCATTATTTTGGGTGTCATAATAACTTTAGCTACAGTAAGTTGACAAAAAAATGCTTAAAATATAAGTTTTAAAGTAAAATTTTGCTTACTTGTTTTTTTTTCAGGGGTCATGGTTTATCTATCGACACCTAATGCACCGCAACGTAACCTCTATGAATTTCGACAACCCAGTTTACAGGAAAACGACTGAGGACCAGTTTTCTTTGGAAAAGAATAACTATCCAACCGTGCAAAGGCCATATTTAAGTACTGTAGGAGAAGAGGTGAGAGCGTTAACTTTGGATTATGGTATCCCTAGATAATTCCAATCTTTTGCTAATAAAGAAAGATTTGATTTTTTTGGCAACGAGAACTGTATATACATTTATGGATACTGGATATAATCAATATATACATTATCTCTTTGTGGTGATCAATATTGAAAAAATCAAAGTAGGTACCTAAAGGCGAATGCAGCTTAGTAAGGCGGATGTATTTATCATTTAATCACTCTTCAAGCGCGCAAATGAAAATGACATAATTTGCTCTGTATAGGTGGAAGTTAGACTGAACAAAAACATAATTTGTTTCGATAAATTAGTAATTGTGAGTGTCATATTATCAAAATAATGAAAAAGCAATTTAGCCTAATAAATTATTTTGAAAAAGAAATCTGAGGACCCGATTGGATCAAAGTAGTGCATTATTTTATAAGTATTATTTTATCTGCGAAGAACATCAATTTATAAGTCACGTGGAAGAAGATAATTACAATTCTAGTATAAATATTACAATATTAAAATGATCACAATAAAAAGTCAATACCTGCTGCTAAGTCCAGTTACAGAGGGGTGAACATTCAAGGAAACCGAACTACAAAAAAAAAATACAAGGAAAATACCAAGATAAAATACAAATAAATAAACTCAAGACACAAACACAAACCTTAAGTAGACGTTCTATTGGGCAACAAATTACCTCACATTTAATAAACATGCATTCAACCAAATTATAGTCTAAAATAAGGAAGGAGCCTCTTTATCGCTCTCTTGACAATTGCCTCTGCAGCCTCTATTTTTGCCATCATATGATATAAATTTTTCTTGTCTTCATATATCAATGATCTTTTGGTCCAGTTACTCCTTTCACCTTGACTCTTGACTTGATTGAACTTTGAAGAAAGCGGCGATATACTTCTCAAGGACATACAAACGAGGTCTGTGATCCACTTTAATTAGGAAATGAAGCACGTTTCTGTGTATTATTACTATGTTCAACGTCCGACAAACACTGAAAGCTGAACCCCTACAACGGTATGCAGTATCAACACTTGAAAGGAGAAACTAATTGCCGAGCAATTTTTACTCCAAAACCTCCAGAGGTTAACCCAAAAATCCCCATCATCGTAAGATTCCAGAAGAGTTCACATTGAAGCAAAAGCAAACAAACTGAACGCCAAAGAAAATGGAAAAAAATTAAAAACGAAAGGCGCCTGTGTTGCTAGTAGAATCTAGGTGCGAAGTGTAGGTAATTTATGATCTTTGAAGAGCATGTAAAAAAATAATGTTACCTACCGGTAGGTACCTACCTACCTACTAAAGAAAACATTAGGAAAAACGAAAAATGTTCGAATTATGTTTTTTTTTTTTTTAAGCGGATGGCTTTCGTTTTCAGGAAAGATTTTTTAAAGATATTTGTGCGCTAAAACCGGTTCAAACATTTGTAAAGGAAACTCTACTTAATAGGTACCTCCAGATAGTCTAATCCTAATTTTTAAATGGGTACCAAACTAACCCAAATACTTTATTGTTATCGGCGGTCGGAAGTTTTACAACAATTTTTTTTTATTTCGTTCATGATCCACCTTACAACGCTGGATTTGACTATGGGTACATTTTAATAGAACATTCATGTAGCTATATTTTTATGTATTTTCTTGCATGCAATAATAAATGTAGTAGGCCAGTCATTAGAGCGAAAAATATGATCACATAATGTGTTGTTCTGATTGAAGCCCTAAAAAAAATTGATTTTTCGACCTTGGGGTTTTATTGAGGTAACTCCTAATTTACACTTTTCTACTAAAGTTTACCTACCTTAAAAAAGAAAACATTTTTGTGCACACTAAATCCCAGATGGCGGAAGGAGCTGGCCTCCCTCTAAGGTCAAAAACTGTATTTTTTTGTGGACACCAATTTGAACAACATACATCAAATTCGCGAATACGCCACCATATGCAAGCTAAAATTCTTCAATGACTGACAGGTGGATATTAAAAAAAATTATAAGGTTATTTCTAGAACACTGTTTGTGGGGCCCCTATTTAGCGAAAATCTCGCATACGAAATTTGATTGGATTTCGAATGACAGCAATGATAATTGAATATGACATATTCGAAATTATTATCACTTTTCGTGTACAATATTTTTACATAATAGAGGCCTTGGTGTCACTAACAATGCTTTTTATGAACATTTGTGTAAAACATAATAATAAACAAACAATAATATTCGATGTATATACGTACAACATAATATACCAATCTCGTTGTCTGTGTCCTAACTTAACTTAACTTCATCCCGATCCATATTACAATTATTATTAAGAACTAAGAAGTAAAACAACATAGCCTAAGATGATAAAATACTTATAGCAACATATAAAATATAATAAACCATTGCTCCTGAAATATTTATCAGTATTATTAGCTTTCCCTAAATTACAGTATTTTTGTATCTATTTTATGAGGAAATAACTGTGCCAGAAATATCTTAAGCCACTTATAGCATGCTATACTTAATATAAGCTTATTCTTGTAGGATAATAATCTAAAAGCGTGGAATTGGAATTTTAGCAAACTTATCTCAGTATGTGTACAAGTTTTTAGTCTTAGTTGTGTACGACATTTTACTGTCCTAAGGCACTAATGTAATTTCGAAAAAATAATACAAACCTCCTGACTTTTCCAGCCAGAATTCACAAAAAATTAACTATCTGTGTTGGTATTTACTTGAACATATTTTTTGATAATTCTTTGTGAAAATATGGTAAACAGCAGAATAGGGTAGTGGACAAGGTATAATTTCAATGAAATCGATGATCTATTGTGCATCTATGGAGTAAATGAAAAATATTCCTCTTGAAAAAAATTTGAAAAAAAATTGCTAACTTTGTTTAAAACGATTGTAAAAGTAGAGTTTTGGGACACACTATTTAAACGAAAATATTTCGCGCCTTGATTCTACGTCATAGCTGTTGTATTTGAGTATGAAATGAATTAAACCTTCGTCCTATATTCGACATACACTTACTCATTAGTGCAAAAAAGAGAGATATATCAGCGTCTGTCGGGGCGCACCTTCAACTTAACCCCACTTTTTGAGAGATTTTCATCTGTCAATCAATGCGCACTGAGCTTATCTGCATCTTTTTCTAGAAGCATGTAAAATATAAGGACGCACTGACCCCGCTCTCGTCCACTCTTATTAATGTCGGAATGCCTTGACGCTATAAAAAATAACAGCTATGACATAATTTCCGGGCGGTAAATTATAGCGTTTAAAATAAGTACAACGGACCCCGCACACCTCTTATGGGTTTTTGGTTTTCTGTCAAACTCAATGAAATTTTGATATGTGTTAGACCTTGACTTCCTGATAAAAAGTTCTCATGGGCCCGAACCAATCCTATGATTAGTTTTTGAGATACAGGTACTTTTATGTCCAAGAAATGTATACATTTTATATGTATTCACATCTACCTGTCACCTAATAATAGGTCTGTTTCTGCAAAAATCACAAACTTGTCAGAGCGAATTTGATTGGTCGAAAACAGTCAGAAACAGTCAGAAAACTAGTTACAACCAATGAAATTCACTCTGACAGACCTAATAATAGGTGACAGGTAGATGTGAATGCATATAAAATGTGTACATTTCTTGAACATTAAACCACCTGTATTTCGGAAACTAATCATAGTATCGGGTTGGGCCCATGAGAACTTTTTATCAGTAAGTCAAGATATACCACATATCAAAATTTCATTGAGTTTGACAGAAAACCAAAAACCCATAAGATGTGTGCGGGGTCCTTTGTTTATTTTTTTTTAGGTATATTTTTGTTTTCTAAAATCAAAGAATCATCAACTACTATTTATTTTGTTATGGAGATTAATAAAAAAAATATTTCAAAAAATTGTCCACTACCCTATTATTAAACTAGTTTAAAACCTAAAGAAATATCTTATTATATAAAAGTATTGCAACATTTCCACCAGTTGCAATTGCAACATCATGATTAATGGCTTGATAAATACATTTTTGACCGCTGCTGTGATATATACCGGGTGACCCACCGAAAACTTTCAATGCCTATATGTTAAAAACCAATCGATTTAAGAAAATTGAAGGACCTGCAGTGGCGGATCCAGGATTTTCTTCAGGGGGGGGCGCAGGCTTAGAATTATCAACAATGATTTCTTGAAAATTTATTTTTACTTTACTTATACGTTAAAGAATGTAGGTCCAGGGTGGTCCAATTTGGAAACTTTTGATATGAAACGTCAATTTCTGAGCCAGATACAAAAAAAATGAGCCCCACACTCTGCTGACGCTCAAATTTCATGAAACCCTAATTGGTGCAAACACTGCAAATCGTCTTTTGATACCCTCAACCGTTTTGCCGCTAGAGGATGTTTCTCGATTTTCAGCAATAAGGTGAAACCTTCCTAACGTTTTAATTTATGAAAATAATTGATTTCTGTATAATATAAACTTTATAGAGATACACTTCCAAGCAGAATTCAATAATGTATACTTGGCCAAACATAAAACTGGTACATGCATTTTCCTATGTGTTGTATTGTGTAAATCGACCTCTATTATCACCTCAAGAATTACAAAAAGAGTCAAGTCAGTGTCATCTTTAAATCAAATAAAATGCCGCCGCAAATACATTCAACAATGTCAAATGTCAAAAACTGTCTAACCTGAGTTTTTTAGAAGAAACATTTTATTGTTAAGCTAGACTCACATTAATCAAATTAAAAAAATACCTACTGCCTGTACCAGTTTTATGTTTGTCCAAATGTACTCAATTTTTCATATTTGTCTCATTTTTCTTTTTAATAAAAAACCCTAGATAAATATTAGACACTTTAAGTTAGACAAAATACGCTAACGCTAACGTAAGATTTGACAGCTGCGCATGCGCAGTTTCTTTTCACCAAAAATAGCGTGTTACGTGTCGCGTTATTTAGCGGGTCTTTGCGTGTACCTTATCCGTA